AGTATTGACTTCAGATGTGAAATGGAACCAAAACTACTGTTCCCATTTCACGGCGTCGCTTAATATTTGCAAAAAGATTGGTTGGAAAGTTTTATTAAGTGTATTTAAATAATCAAACTGTAGTTTCTTTGTATTGTGTGAGGCCTTTTGAGAACATCTCAATGTATTTCTGCTCTATTCTCCTCCTTGTTTGAAGGCAACTGACATTCTTCTTTCACTTTTCTTTTTGTTTGTGAAATTTTCTCCTTTTTTTTATCCACTCACTTCTCCATCTGCTTTCACTTTTGTTTGCTTGGGCCGTCTCTCATCCCAACTTGATAATGAGGAATGCGGTGTGACCCTGACCTCTATCAGCCCATGCATGACCTTCTGACTCCCCCACATAACCTCTGACCTTCTCTTTGACAGCTTGATTAATTACCCTGTGTTATGATTTATGAGTAAGTGCTATGTAAAAATAATAGACAACAGGTGGTCCTCTAAAAACTTTTTGTGGCATGTTTTCTTTTCCTGCCTAGCTTGATGAGCTATTTTAAGTTGGGAACTTAGTGGGACAATGTGTGTTTGGCAGTAACACGGCATTTTTACACACTTGGACACAGTGCTGGAATTCAGGGAGCCGAGGTGTAGCCGGGATGGAAATATCACAAAGTATTAGCGGGGCGCAGTTGCCAAAATGTACATTGGGTGGAAACAGAAAGCAGAGTCAACTGACGTTTCAGGCTTTTCAGTCTCAGGTCACGTCTTGAGAAAATTGCTCAAATAATGGAGGGGGCATTTTTTCAAGCTGAGCTGCATCTCCAACAGCTATGTTTACTTTAACGCTTCACTAGTGACTTCTGATTGGTTGTCATGACCTCATCCCACTGTTGCACCTACGATGTCGCAACAGTGACATAGATGCAGCCTTCCTGTGGAAAAGATGGGAAATGAGTAGAACATGCATCTTTCAGGAAGATGAATGGGCATCGCCGTGTCTGTTTAAACCACGGGCAGGTTTAAGAGCAGGACACTGTGAGTTGCATTTCCCCTGGGGATTGACTCTGATCTTGTTGCCAACGATCCAAATAGAAACCTGAACTTGGAAATTCGGGTTGATAAAGCTTAGGAAAATTATCTCCTTCAGACCCTTGCTTGCTGTCCAAAAAGCTAGTTACACAGGTCAAAAGATTCCTCTCCAGCCCTGACCTCTCTGATCACATATGGTGTCTCATTCTGGTGGATTAATATGCAGAGCTGAATGCTTTCAGCTCATTTTTCATGTGGCCAGGCAGAAGAAGTTTGAAAAGATTTGGAATTTACCTCAAGTACTTTGGGTTTGTTTTTTTTGTTGTTATGGGGTGTTTTTTTGTTTTGTTTTTTTTATCTTCCTCTTGGTGTCAGAGGCAGTAATTTTGGTATTCCTTCCGTTTTGAACATCTGGCTTGAACTTCCAGTAAAAGACAGAAAGTACTGCTCCATTTCTGGCTTGTGTTTTATGGTAGAAAGGCCCTTCTACGTTGTTCTGGCTTTGTAGTAAAGGTATTGTAACCAAGATTCATGATTTTTTCCAACACTTGGCTTTGTCAGCCTGCTTTTCTTTTTGTCATCGTTTGCTGGCTCAGTCCTACATATTAATTGTATTTGTGTTTATGGACCTGAAGGTGGAGTTTGCACACAGTCCTCAGCCTCCAGGAGTAGTTACCTGGAGGATGCCAGTAATTAGTGTAGATGCCTTCTTAGTTACCTCGAAACATTAGAATCTGGGGGGAAGAGCTGTGAGTTGGGTGTTTCAGTCTGAGAAACTGTCATTGTATCCACTGGACTTGCAGCTTGGAGGCTGGGACGTGGTGTTTATCAGTGTCTGTTCTGATTATTGCGCCTCATCACAGACATACTAATGGGGGAATGCAGGCAGACCTTGGCTCCTGTGCAACATCTGTATGCTCTCAGACATGTGGTAGAGCACAGGGCTTGGCTTCTCTCTGTCAGCTGAAGATTGATGGGGGGAGAGGGGGGGCTGTCACGAAGTTTAGCTTTTTACCATGAAAAAACTTGGCACTTCAGAGAGTGGTTTCTCCTTCTGTGTGCACTGGACACACAGGAGAAAACTACTGCAAGTGTTTTACTGATGGTGGCCAGCCTTAAAAAGTCTCCTGGGTGATGGTGCTAACTTACATCATAGGTCGCTACATTTTAATAATTCTTTCATCATAGCTGAAATTGGTATTTTTAATTACTCTGAGAGGTATATACTTCTGAACTCGACTTTCATTTTAAAAGATACTTTTTACTGAATGTGATTTTTTTTCTTTGCCTAACAGTCATGCCGAAGGCTACGTATGTTTTTTTTTCCTATAGTGAAAATTTTTTTAAAGAATGTCACTTTTAAGTAGAAAATACTTGGGCTGAGGCTGAATGAAAGAGTTTGTAATTGCATACAATTTTACCAGTGATTCTGTTTTTCTGTGTTGCTTTGTATATGTTATTCTCAAACCTTCTTTCTGGTGCCCTTATATACATCTTGCAGTTTAGGACACAGGAGTACAAGGGAAAGGGAAAGACACTACCTCATGTAAGCAAAGCTATCTGAAAAGGGACTGCTTTCCTAAGACAAAGTCTTATGAAATGTAAGATTATCTTCTGTCTCAATTACGAGAAAATCTATCTCAGTTATTACTTAATTATTTTAATTGTGCTGACAGGAAAGGCCTGCTCTCTGGGATAATTTTTTATATTTTTTTTGAGTGCAGAGGGAGACATGTTACGCTGCTTATAATATAATTGATAAAAATCCTTTAATTGATTTACGAAATAGTGAATTTAAAAATGGAATCATATTTCATCTGTTGATGTCTATGTGAAAAATTGACATTGCGTCCTCATAAACTTGGACAAATGAGTCATGTAATTTTCAGTTACACAATCAATAACTTAGACAAATTCTACTTCTTCGGTGATTTATGTGTGTTGTTTTGTGGTCAGCCCAAAGTGGGCACCGAGTTTACAATCCCTGTAGCTTGTGTAGGCCTGCTGGTGAGCACAGGAGTTTTGCATTTGGCATTGTAAGGAGAGCGAAGCGGATCGACCCGCGGGACAACTCCGCTCGGGATGAGCAGGGTCAAGGAGACAGACAGCATGGAGACCCCCAGAAGCACCCACCTGCCAAAACTTGGTCCTGCCCTGCCAGAACCACCATTTCCTCTGAGATGTGTACGATTGGGGGATATTTGTGAGTGGTGTTCTCCCCTACCATGGATTCTGAGGCTTTGAATTTTCCACGTTGAGAAGTCTATGTGTTAATAGTACAGCGCCTTGTGTTAATATGACCAGCAACAGTGCCCATAGTTTGTAAGCTCCGTCTTCCCTAATTTTCCCTTTTCCTCTGCGCTTCCCCTGTTGTTTGTTTGTTTATTTATTTATTTGCCTGTTTATTTGCATTTACCCCAGCTCAGTGCGCTCAGCAGGGAGGGCAGGGAAGCGACTTGACAGGAGACCACTTACTCACGGCGCCGCATCTAGCGAGGAGGCAATTTTCCCTTTGGCCTGTGGTGACCTTTTTTGACTATGTCCCTGACGCCAGAGACAGTGTCCTGAATGCCTCTATTTCACCCTGTTTAGCAGAGTGCAACCGTGCCCTTTAACTTGGTTTTTGGTGGGAGGAGAAGCTTCGGCAGACGTTTGAGAAGGGCACAAGGACGAGGGGTAGGAACTCCCTTCAGATGCGATTTTGATAACTAGTCGAGTGTGTCCAACTGTAGAAAATCACCGAGTGACAATCTGTCTACCTGACAGTGGCCACAATGCGCTACAAGGTTTGTGAATGGCTCTACAGATTAGAATAAAGCAAGCCCAAATAAAGTATCTTTTGTTGGAGTGGGCTTGGTTTGCTCTGGCCAGCTAGGTATGGGGACCTCTTTGATCCTCGTGCCTAGCCCAAGTGCAGAACGGAGCACCCAGTGAAAAGCTGGAATAAAGCTGTTCAGTTAGATAATGAGTATAGATGTTTCCAAAAAGTAAGTCTTTGTTAAAATTTACTTTTAAAGGACAGCTTGCTTTGACTGGGAACCCATGGTAACTTTAAGGACTCATCTGTTAAATGCACGTGCTTCCCTTTTCTCCCTGCCTTTGCGATTATGTCTTCCACAAACATTACAATTCTTGTGTGATTTGCCATCATTTAAAAGTCATAATAAAATGATTGGCTGACTTATTCAAGATTATTTCTCATTCATAAATTCATGTATTTTTCAACTGGCTCATTTTCTGAGGCACAAAAATGCAGCTGGTATGCTCAAAAACATCCTGCAGGTCACAAATTTTCTCTGGGTTTGTTGAATACAGGACATAATCCCAGTGAAGTTTCAGAGCAGATTTAAAGATGTACTTAAAAGTCACCCCCACAGTAAAAGAGTTGACTTGTAAGCAATACCATTGAATCAGTTTTGGTATTGATTCATTGTTACTGCCACTATTGGCTTATGCATGGTGTGCTTGTTGTCAGCTAGACAAAAGGTTTTACTGTTTTAAACTGCAGTGATTTATTTTCACATGCTTTCTTTTATATATATACACATATATATATATATGAAATCCCTCCATTGTCTATATTCTAAATGTTTTTATTGGCTGGATGTAAAGCTTTTTATTCATCATTATGTGGAGTTCCTAAAATAATATTTTAGTTCTCATACTGTTTTCTGAAAAAGTCTTATAAAATGTTTATTAATAAAACTACATATTAAATTATTTTAAAGGTAAAACAAGCAAGTTTTTTATCCCCGAGGAATGAGCATAAGTGCATGCACATACACATATTCACTCATCAATATCATCTGTATCCCTTTAATGACAGAAATGAAACACAATATTCTTTAAATACCCTTCTATAAATTGTGTTGTGTGAACTTACTGAAACAAACACAAAAGTTTTTAAGAGCATTAAAGTAAATGCAAAGCATTTTCAAGCATTAAATCTCCCTTTTCATATTTCTTCTTTTTGTGTGTCTCTTCTAAAACAGGAGGGCTATGGAGTGATAGTACTGAATCCCAATGAGAACTATATTGAAGTGGAGAAGACAAAAGCCCAAGTACAGCTGTCTTCTGATAGCTCAGATGAACCTGCAGAAAAGAGGGAAAGAAAAGATAAAATCCAGAAGGAAACAAAGAAGCGACGTGACTTCTACGAGAAGTATCGAAATCCACAAAAAGAAAAAGAAACTATGCAGATGTATATTAGAGTAAGTTTATTATGGTTTTGTTTGCCCTTCTTTAATGAAGTATAGATGTGTTTACTGCCTGCATTGGCTAACAACAGCATGCTTTTTTTAAAAACAAACATATTACTGAGATGGCATTCAGGAGTTCATACAGATTTCCTGGGTCTTTATTCTATTGATATTTTTTGTCACTTATTGAATGTGAAGTTTTGGAAGAGTCACAAAACACTTCTTTCTAATTTCAAAGGGGAACTTCAAAATAAACCCCAGAGGAACTCACTGGTGCTATCAAGAAAGAGCATGATTTAAGGAAGACTTTGTTAAAATTATTTTCTAAGCAGACGTGTACATAGGAAACACTTTCCCATGAAGCTTAGGCAACATATTAGCTTCACATCTCATGCATGCATTTATTGTATTACATTGTCTTGTACTGGGGAGGCAGTAGCTGTAGCATAGTAGTTTTTTAACTTATTACCTGCTGAATTAGTAATGTATTGTGGAAAACACCAGTGTTCATCTCGTGTGGTAGCAGACGTACCCTGTAATCTATTGTTTTCATTTGAGCCGCCATCCATTGTGTTTCAGCTGAACTTCTAAAGGCAGATAAAGGAAGAGAGTTATTAATATCTTAATAAATACTTAAGGTAGAGTATTTCAGGAATGGTGTAATGAGGAAACTCCATCCCTTGCTCTTTTCTTACTCAGTGAACCTTTGCACTTGGTAATGCTGCCAGCATGGGATCGTTATAACAGTGCTACCCGAGGATTTCTAATTCTGCAGGGGGCACGAACAATATTATTTGCACTTTGACACATTCTGCTTCATATACATACTATGCATTATACATTCGAGACTGAGTCATGCAATTTCCAAAGCCCTTATTATGAAAGTTAGCATTTTCATTCAACAGTAAAACACGTCAGAAACACCACAGTGTAGTTAAAACAGTAAAAATTTATATACCTTTCTGGTATGAAACAGAGAAAAATCCAGCAAGAGGGATGTTGGAATCATCTTGAATTTTAACTAGTTCCTATTAATTGTGCTTTAGCATAACAATGTTTGTAGGAGAAATACAGCTTACTGGGTAGTGAAAAGGGTTTGTAACCTGGATGTGAGTTTATCAATAATACCATAAATATTACTGTGTCTAGGAGAAATATTGTGCTGCTGAGTGTGGGAAACAAAAGAATACAACACACACACACACATATATGTATTCAAAGTCACCAACAGGGCACTATTGTTTCTATCTAGTGCTTTTTACAAGACATGCCATTCTGCCCACCAGCCAGACCCTGGCTGCTCTCGAGGTCTTTCAGAAGCCAGTGGATGATATTTCTGTGTTGTCCAGAAAGGCATTTAGTCAATAATGCTGATCCAGTGTCCCCTTATTAAAAGTGAACCTTTTTTTGATACATTTTTAGCTGTAACCACCTTGTGGCTTTTTTGCTTGATGAGGCCTCTAATTTGGGCTTGGGAAGTTTGACTCCCAAAAGATAAAATGCATGGCTCCATCCCATTTTCTTTTTGCATAGATCTGTGACTCAAATATGACTACTGACATTCCCTTTCTTTTATTTTCTTCACACCAAGGAAAGAAGTAGCGTAAGTTTTAGTGAAAGTGTGGGTAGTGGTCTGCATTTCTGGGCAAATTAGCGGAAATCAGGTTTTCCAATGCAGTTTTGTTCTGAAATAATTACTTTTCTTTTCTTTAATATGCTCTAATACAGAGAAACAGAACTAAAAATGTCCCTGCTTTGGTGTCTGGTAGGACGAATTACGGCAATTTTCTTGCCTATTGGTTTCAGAAACATTCTGACAAGGTGCCATTTACTCTGTTGGCCAGAACTGCTCAGTCTGTGGGTGTTTGCAGAGAGGAGCTCTGCTCCACCTGCCTGGCACAGACACGGCTGTCAGTCTGTCCAGGCATTGCACCATGCAATCAAAATGGTGCCATGCTGTATTTGCAATGTCATTCTTGCTTCCTGGGTTTGGATCCCTTAGGATTTGCACCCTGGGACTGGCTGCCAGGCTAGCAGCAACCACAGGCTGCTGTGGGACATGGTGTTGGAGCTGGTTTGATGTAATCTGAACGATCAGTTGTCAATATGACCTTTACTTAATGTATAGAGTACCGTACATTTGACTTTCTGGCTCTTGAAATAAAAGATATTGTCACTCCACCAAAATATTTAAGGGTAGTATATGCTTCATAATGATCTCAACATCTTTGCCAAGGAACGAAAAGTGGTACAGAGAGACTAGATGGAAAAATATCCTCATAAAGAGGCATCAACTGCATCTGACATTGAAGCAAAATTTGTTTGTGTCAAATATGCTGGAGAAATAGTTTCAGACTGTTAAGGAATAGGAATACATATTCTCGGTTATGTTCTCATAGGGTCATGGAGATCTGTTGTGATCTGATGATAAAATGCCATTTGAGCAAATTAAAGCTGTCTGGACAATGCTCCCACTTGTGCAATTAGCTTTTCCAAGAACTGGAAACATGGAACTCTTCCATGGTAGATTTCTTTAAGTATTTTCTTTATTTTCATAGGGAAA